AAAAAAAAAAAAAAAAGGACATGAGGTGAAAAAGACTGCTCCTAACTTCTGTTTCCTTTCCTCTTAGCTTGATAAACTCAAGAGAGAATATAAATCCAAAAAGTCTTGTGGTGAAGAGAGAGACAGAAGGTTTACAAAAGGAACTAGTGAGGTGAGAGTGACAACAACTGTGACTACAAGAGGCAAGGATGCTGGTCCCATCAAAGTAAAACCTGGAGAAAAAAGCCGGAAAAACCTACAGCTGTTGCGGGACATGCAGAGTATACAGACTTCACTTCAGAAAGATGATATCAGCTGGGGCTACTGACTTCTGTACTGCAGGAGCGTGTTTTTTTTTTGAGGCTCCACCAATCTGGATTTGTTTTGTTCCAGGTCTAAAGCAACTGCCTTTTTCTAATGTGTGAAAGAGACTACTGCATACTAAGTGCACTTTTAAAATTGTAAACCCCCCCTCACTCTTCCATCTCTAGGTGTGATCGTGTTCTGGTCTTAATCTAAACAATGTACATAAAGAACAAGCTTCACTCTTAAAGTATCCCTGCTGGTAGGCCTTTGCTGCTCCCTTTTCCTGCTTACCATCTGCAGGCTGTCTTTATTTCAGTGTTTTTCTGGGGTGGCTTGACTAAGGCATACCTGATCTTACAGCTTATACTGTTGAAATTTTACACAGGTAGGTGTTTAAAGACATATCACATGAAAACAAAACTTGGACATGAGTTTGAAAAGCATTAGCAAGCCTCTGATGTGTGTGCAGCTGCTGTCATAGGCTTTGGTGTTACAGTGTTTTGCTTTTTTTCAGAAAACCCATCTAGTCCTTCTGCTACAATCTACTACCCATCTCTAACTGTACTGGATGCTTTAACATCCACAAAGAAGGAACAGTCATCATTTTTCCAATTGGTTTTCCTTTAACAACTAAGTAATGACATTTAAGACCAAGGGGAGTAAGCGGTCTTCAGAAATAGCATCCATTTTAAGCATGACCACAGGATGTCAGGATAAAACTCATTACTGGCATATTCCTTTAGATGGTAAAGGGCTAAGGAGAAGCATTGAGATATTTTAAAGTGCAAGTGCCTCAATCATGCCAGGCAGCTTGCTTTTAACTTGAATTCTTCATTTTGGCTGTGTGTGAATGTCGTCATACAAACATGAAGGTAAAATTACTTGCCTATCGAAATGAATTATTTATTATGTTAATAATGCACAGTTTCCTATTCATGGAATATACAGAAGACTGATTACCTCTATAAAGTTATGATTGGAAGCCAATAAAGCTAACCTGCTGAAGTGGAACAGTAGGTATTTCTTTTAACAGTCTGAAGTTCTGAGCTGCTTGGTTTGTGTTACAAACAGCATACAGGCAGGGGGAGCGTGTGCATCTTCCCCTAATCCAGACCAGGACAAGCCTGGGGGTACTCTGCTTGCAGACACCCTCCACATGTGCTGCAGGCCTTTGCCTGGCAACAGCTCTCAAACACTCCACAAAGACAGGTTTCAAGACTGCCCTTGGAGGGCAGACAAGGTATGCATGGGCCTGGCCATGGCTTTGTTTCTGTCGTGTACACACATTTTCAAAGGCCTGATTCGGAAGGCACACTGAACATGCTCAAGATCTGCACCTAACACAGGCACAAGGAGGTGGATAGTGCCTGTAGTAGTGGTCTAAAAACTCCTGCATGGTTGAAAGAGAGGTATAAAACTAGAAGTTGAAGCACTTGAATTGTAAGTTTCTCCAATGGCCTCCACATCTGAGGCACTGACTATTTCATAGCTGTTATATTTAAATCAAAATGGACAAGCGAGTTGCAACTAGACAAAAACACTTAGATGTGAAAAATATCTTACTAGAATAGTTCAAAGGGTGCAACAATTCCAGAACTATGGAGCTTGAATATTACAAGCATCTGTGAGAATAAGAGAGGAAGAAGAGTTAAACTTCCACATAGGTTTCAAGGCATCAAAAACTGTTACTTTAATGGTGTCTTTTAGCACTAATAGTAAAGTTTTTTCTAAATAAATACAATTGGAAGCAAAGTAGAGAAATAACTTATGTGTTCACTGATTTTGTTTTTTGTAAAGGAAACAAGTCCTCCACTTTAAGAAACAGGAATTCTTCCCTACTGAATTTGCAAGGTGAGGGTATTGCTACATAAGGATAATTTATACTAGAGACTAGAAGAGTATGTCCCTATGAGCTGAACACAGCCTCCTGATCCAGAATCTGTTTTGATTCTTTGCAACACAGAAATCAAAGTTTAGGTAAAACTTTTTAAAGACTTAGAGGGCCAGGTTTATAAAACTCAAGTGCTGTTCACTTCATCGCATGGCTTGTCTATGTCACTATCTACAGTAGGAAGTAGTGGAGAAGAGAAAAGATAGTCTGCCTTATCAGTGCTGTGACAGCAGCTGACTCCAAGTCAGCCAAACTCTTTTTTTTTTTAACTGCCCAAACGAGAACATTCTGCTGCACTTGCTTCTCTCTCTGAGGAGAGGTGAAAGAATGTGTGTGACAGGTATGTAGCTGCTTGATGTACTAGTAGAAGAGCTCAGACAGTACAGTACCAAAACTGAAGTCTCAGTAGTGAGCCTCTTGCTTACTATGGAAATGAGATGTGGGGGCAAAGTAACCCCCCACAACCTGATGCAAATATATGGACCTTTATTGAGAAGTCCCCATTATTTATATGGAAAGATGCTCTGGAAAATTCACTGTTTGCAATCAACTACAAAAAATAACAGTTTTAACTCCCACTTTCTGCAATGAAGTTATGCATTACAATTGATTTTGGATAAAGTTTAATTGACCACTGTGCAGGTAACAGGGCTCCTAAATGCACTATACTCTCCCTCTCAGAATAAAACATGTTTAAGCAAGTGCTAAAATATTACTTTAGCAGACTAAACAACTCAGCCAACTGACCATTCACTTTACAGTGTGATTGTAATACATGCGGAAGGTTTTCTTTGGTCAATCAGTAAACAGAAAAATAAAATACAGCATGAATTATGAACACATCACCATGATCCTGCACCAAAGCATCAAATAACAGTTTACACTTACCTAAGCAAAATGAAACTCAACTGATTCCAGTATGTGTTGCATTTGTCACCTCTTGGGTATGAGGCATGGGAAAGAAATAGCTGCAGAAACTACAGGGGAGTTGTCTCCTGCCCCATCCTTTATAGAAGTGGTTTAATATTAGTTTAATGGAATTAACTGATGTAAATAATGTATGATACCTGAAGATAAACTCTGTCCTAAAAAGGACAACTTGAGGGATAGTGGTAATTCATCTACTCCCATACCCTCCTGGTTGAAGATGCCTTTCCTGTAGATAAGGTATCACTTTGCTTTATTAGGAATATATCTTAAAAAGAAGCTGACATTGATTTAAGTTCTTGCATACCTCTAGACAAAAGCAAAGCCTAAATACATGGTCCAGCTTCCTATGTGATGGGAAAGAACAAATTAGTCAATAGGAAACTGTTTAGGGTTCTCTTGGAATTTCATATGTTGGCAACATTTCAGTTTTGACATTTTTGCATGTAAACTGACACTGAGAAGTCCAATTGTTCACAGCTGCAGTCCAGACTTTGAAACCGATAAGAATTATGCTTGTTCCCTCTTTAGTCTGTATCTGTTCCAGCAAAATGGAGACTTGTCAGACTTCTCCTGTGTAGACACTTTTCCTATATAAACGTTCCTTCCAATGCACTGTCCCTCACTGAAAGCGACGTGGTTTCTAACAGATACGTGAACAAGAGCTCTGCATCTTGTTTTTGGTGCAATTTGTAGTTTTATAGTAATCTAGCCACTAAGAAAACTAATTGCATAGGGGGCATGATTTTGCTTAAGTTTCCATTAATATTACAGTACTAATAAATAACCCTGGAAAGAAATATAATAAATAAATTGGCATCTCCTAGACACCAGGTTTTAACTTCAGAGGGTTTCCTGCTAGAAAAGCTGCTCTTGTATCATGGTCCTGGAAAGTACTTAATAGAAAAGTCATTATACAACTGTCTGCACAGGAGCCACACATTGGGCAGGAGAGCCAGCTCTCTCGGAGGAGGAGGTTGATCGGTTAGTTATTTCTCTCTGGAGCTCCTCCACCTTCTTCTGCAGCTCGGCCCGCTTTGCAAGAAGTTCTTTGTATCGATTGTGAACAGGCTCCTGCAATACAAAAGAACCTAAGCCTGAGTGATGGCAGAATGCAGCTCAGACCAAAGATGCTCTTTCCCCACTTTTAGTCTGTATACAGAGTATGTAATCCCCTCTGTTGTTCCTCGCCACCTAGTGACCAAGCCCAGTAACAGCAGCCCATACCCTTCAGCTATGCTGGGATAAGCTGTACATCCATCCATTATAAACACTGGCATAGTTTTAAATCAATCTACAATATTGTTGAAAAATTAGCACAGGGTGTGTGATTTCCATACACCAAGCTTGCCATGTGAAGTGCTTACTGGCTTTAATGGAAATTTTAATAATGGTGAAAACCACTAGCTAAAAGCCGTCAGTGGGAATTTCACAAGCTGACATCTGCAGAAGTATCAGGGAGAAGATGCCTATGGCATCTGAGTCTCTGCTTTCAGATTATTTATCTGGGGACTCAATTTTAGGTATCTAATTTAAAAAGTAGCCAGGATTTTCAACAGACTTGCAACAGACTGGAAATGATTCTTAAAGTTTTCAGGTTTGTTTGTTTTTTAAATACAAATGCAAGCTAAAACAGCTCCAACTGGGTACTACCACAGATTTGTCTACGGCCAAGTCTACAGGCTCCTTAGTAATGTCAGTGAGAGACAACTTCTAACACATTAAACAAAAAACCTGTTCACCTGTGGTTTCATCCTTGGATTCCATCTGATGTAATATCCCACCCAAAGCTCTAGATGGCGCATGCTGGCTACTGGATACAACACATGGTTGGTGTAGCTCCCGAACAAGGGGTTTGTAAAGTCTTCAAGTTGGCTATTGATGTAGGACCACAGCGACACAGTCTTTTTTGGAAGGCTCTGCAGGGGGGGAAAATAAAAGCTTCATTTTACATGTGCAGCCATATGAGCTCTAGCATTTATCTACACAGCTTGAGGAGTATTTATACCACCATATGCATATGTTCGCCATTAATACAAATCTGGCTGCCTTTCCCTAGCTAAAAAAAATACAGTTCATCCTTTTGAAGTGGTTTCTGTAATGCAAGTACAGGCAGACAGGCAGACACACATTCTGGCATGAAAACACCCTTTATTCCCATCTCAAGCCCCTGCACAAATCAAAATCCCCCTCAGCACAAGTGAAAGAGCCCGTCCAGAGTGGAGCTGGGCATCTACAGTGGAAATGTTGAAGGCTGAAATGGGGGGGGGGGGGGGGGG